GTAAACAGACATCACAATATGTTGATATATAAAATAAATCAAACAACATTTTTGAGAGAACGTTTCTGTTTTTTGCTTTTACATTTGTGAGTTATTTCTCCTTAATTACCACATTAATTTCAGAAGATGTCTATGTTTTGCTTGTGTAATTTATGACTTTAATCTAAAAGGTTTTCTGAGTTTTTGCTTGTGAATTTACGCCCTTATAATCCCAGAGAATAACGTACTTCTTTTGTAATTCAAGAGTTTTTTTCTTGGTAAAGTACCACTTTTTTTTCATGAATATATTCGATTATAATGGCAGAAAATACAGATTTGTATTCTTGTTAATTTCCAGCTTTCATCTTGGAGTTTTATCAGAAATTATCCCCTCCATTGATCTCGATAATGCGTATTTTTCTTGAATGTATTTCCGACATCATTCATCTATGGCCATTCAATGATATAATAGAAATTGTATCCAACAGCTAACTAAAAAAGCACGACTTATTAATAAAGCAATAACGATTCATCTTCACTACTTTATTGGCAGATCTTTAAAATGATTCACTGTGTGTCTTTAGGACTATGGCGGTTTCATTTGTCAACATATAGACGTTGTCCGTCATGAGAAAAAACACAGAAAACAACTTCAACTAGAGAAAAACAATAATAAGTAATTTGGTTTGATTTCCACATAAATGCTAAGAATCCTGAGGTGTCTTTAGTGTGAGTGATGGTGTGGTTCTCGTGTTACAGGACAGTGGGGAAAGGCTGTCATTTAAACACAGGATGCTCAATCCCTCATGTGCCCATTTCACAACATGTCCATGTGGCAAGGACAGGATGTGCATTCACTGAGGGTAAGAATAAACCCGCTTCACTCCAGCACATACATCCCTGCACCTTCCAGACAAACACTGCTGTTAAGATCAATGTGTATATGTTATAATGCTTATAAGAGGTAGTGGTGGTCTAATGGATAGTGAGGTGGGCTGAAGATCGGAAGGTTGTGAGTTCAAATCCCGCCTGGAACACCACCACTAGTGTGCCCTTGAGTAAGGCACTTAGCCCTTAGTTACTCCACAGAGAATGTTCCTGTCAGCTAAATGAAATGTAATAATAAGAAGGGTTTTAAACATGACTCTGATAATGAAATAAAGACACATGATGAGTAAAGTATGAGTCTATATTTCAAAACGTTAAGAAAATGTAATGTGGAAGATCGTACAAAGAAAACCTCTCTGATTTTCTTATATAATTGTGGCAAAGCATGTGGTTAATATGTGAAGTTTAGATGAGAAAACATTGATAATAATCACTAATTTGAGCAAGTTCTTTGTAAAACAATCTATACTCTATATTCTGAAAACACAGATTGTGGTGAGAAGGTTTGCAGAGCCCGATTCATGAAACTTTAACGACCACACGGTGAGAGTTTGACGTCTTACAGCAAAAAGTCAAACCGATCCCTGAAGATATAAGCAGGTTACACGAGAAGTGTCAAGCTAATGAAATGTAACATTTATAGGAGGGATGCATGGTGAAGCAAATGCTGCAAAATAGTTTAGAAACCTCTGGACGTTTTATAGAAATGATTCAGTTACTGCAGAGGGAGCAGATTTACACATCTTTCTAGTAGAGACTAATCATCTTCCTGATAAGTCACAATAAACAACTCTGAACAATATTAATAATAAAAGACAAATGGGATCTTTATAGTAACAAAGGACAGCTGTGATGCGCTGTGTTTGTGGAAGAGGCTGTTCAAAGGCGCAGATCTTGAACTAAAACCACAATTAACTTAATGCCATAATGCGGCATCCCATATTAGAGTTCCAGATTAAATCAATTAGTTGTCAGCAATTACATTTATGGGGCTCTATTTTGATAATCAATTTGAATCTGTTTGAGTAATTTTTAGGGAAATATAGTAAAAAAAAAATCCTCTGATTTCCGCTTCTTAACTGAATATGTTCTGGTTGCTTAACTCTACGAAAGTAAACTGAATATCTTTAAATTGTGGACAAAACAAGAGATTTGAGGACGTCATATTGGGGAACATTGATTGGTATTTTTCACAATTTTCTGACAACTATCAGAGCAACAACTAATCAAATAACAAATATCTCATCATAACATACATTTTGGTGCAATCTGAGTCACTGCCTGCCACTCATTAACATATGTTACAGCGTTTTTGAGAATTGCTGTATCACAAAACACTGCAATACTTAAGGGTATCAATATGTTCCTAAACTCTTAGCATTAATAGCATCCCTCCACGCCTCCAGAACCCTGAGGCGGGCAGGGAAGATAGTGGCCGACCCCTCCCACCCTGGACACAAACTGTTCAACCCCCTCCCCTCTGGCAGGAGGCTGCGCTCCATCGGGACCAGAACCTCTCGCCACCTGAACAGATTCTTCCCCTCCGCTACCGGCCTCTTAAACAAGGCCCGGCCCCCCCACTTACCTCAGCCACAACGTAGTCTCTATAAGCATTACATTAATGCACACAATGTTCATACTGCTTACTGCACATATTTCTTGTTTCATAACAACATTCATAGCATTCTATTTCCATGTAAATTACTGCTTTATTTTATTGCTATTTAACTATATTTTATTGCGGTGTCCTTAAAGATTTTTGGTTTTATATTAGATTTCTTGTTTTATATTTTATGTATGCACCATGACATCAAGTCAAATTCCTCGTATTTGTGAACCTACCTGGCAATAAACCTGTTTCTGATTCGGCATTTTTTCAGGTGAGGGGTCTTCGCTATAATTTGAGACCATTTGACGAACCAGAGGCTAATGTAGGCTTAAAAGTAGGATATCAAAAAAGTATACATCTAGGGCTGAGCAATACATAAATATTATATGATATTGTGATATGAGACAAGATATTGAGTTTGAATATCTAAAACAGTATGAGTGTTGTTTTTCCCCGATTTCAAAGACTACATCATGTCATGTTTATATTTCCATCAATAGTCTTTAATCGCCAAGTCATTAAATCCACTGTACTGATCAGAATTTACCAAAATCCTATCGTGGAAATATTTAATAAAAGCACCAATAATCAATCCAACAATATCGTTGAAACATCGATATCAAAGTATTTGGTCAGAAATATCATAATATCTGATTTTCTACAAATGGCTTAGACCTATATACCCGCTGCATTTTGTGCATGACCACAGTGTGTACAGTGGGGTGCTGTTGTCCACCAGCAAGTGTGTGTGTGTGTGTGTGTGTGTGTGTGTGTGTGTGTGTGTGTGTGTGTGTGTGTGTGTGTGTGGCATGTGCATGACTACTGCCATTATAATTCTGGGCAGGTGATCAGACTTGACCCCCACCAACTATGTCTGGCCCGCCAGCCAAGATCGTGTGCCAAGTGTCTGGTGCTGCCCGACTCCCCACTGGCTGGTTAATGAAGGGCTTCGTGGGGGGAGAGAAGACGAGGGAGAGAGAGAGAAGAAGAGGGGGAGAGGGAGGGGAGGATGGGGATTTAGGGGTGGGCCTCCCCTCAATTGCAGGCCTGTATCGGGCCAGCTGTTGATTCACAGCTCCGTCTGCACCACAACAAACACAAGGGCCACACAAGGGCCGTCCCGGGCAGAGGGGGGGACAAAAAAAACGGCAAGAAAAATAAAAAAAAGAAGCCTGGCAGTCAATTTCTCCACTGTCGCTACGGAAACAGAGCTGTCTCTATTGGGACTGAGGAGCGTCTGACTACATTCTTCTCCATCTCCCTCCTTTATGCTTTCTCCATTATCTCCCCTGCTCATCCCCCCCGGCTTCTTTTTCCTCTTCTTCCTCGTTTCTTCCTCGTTTCTTCCTCCCGCTCTCACCTGCTCTTCTGGAACAAATCAACAGCTGTCTGACTCTGAGCAAGTGCACTGGCTGTAAAACAAGCCACTGTTCCCCAGGCTGCAGCCATTTGTCTGTCTGCTAATTCAAAAGGTGAGACAGCGACTTCCTCCGCAGGCCTTTCATGCTGCTGGCCAACCACATATATCTCACAGTGAAATGCACCACAATGCTCAATTCTAAGTCCGAAAGAAAAACCAAATCACTGACCACAATCTGTCCTGCAGCCTCCTGAGGATAAATGCATTTACAACAAATGTGCACCACACTGCTGTGAATGACCCAAGGGTGTCCTGCAGAACAGAAGGTCCTTTCAGAGAGGTGCAAAGGATAGCTTTGCCAAGATATAAATGAGTGTTTGCCCCCGTAATGCCGCTCTTATCAGCCACAGAGGGACCTGTTAGCAGTAATGTAGCAAAGGACAAACCTATAAATAAGCTCTTTCTTCCCGCAAAGAAAAACTAGACTATTTGTATTCTAATTACAGTCACCTTGGTTGTGAAACAAACAAAGGTAGTGTCTCACACTACTAGTACAATCCTCAATTGTTGCCAAGGAGCATTCTTCCCATTTAGTGGAATTAAACGTGCTCTTATCACCTGGAAACCTAATTTTGGGACCTTGTTTGGGATTTGTAAACCTGCTCTACAAGACCAAAATCAGCAGGAGGGTTTCCTTTCAAAAGCAACAATGCATGGGTCTGACAGGTATACGTGCAAGTGTGCAGGAACAGAGGAGAAGAAGGAGTCAGAGCATCTGAGGAGAGACTTTGAGGCTGAGCGAAACACATTGGTATGACTAATGTGGAGCAAAGGAGTTCTTTTACATCAATCAGGTGCCACAGTTGATAATAAAAGCAACTTAGAATCTCAGTCAAATGACTACTTAGACACCCATTTTCATAAATCACCTCTTAGTTGATGCAAAACCGTATTCAATATGTACAATGCTCCGTACTACTCTTAACTCTCATGTGATGTAAGGGCCACTTTCTGCACAAAATACAGTTTTGATAAGGGTGTTATCAAGAGAATTCATGTGAAAATCTCTTTTGTTTTTTGATTTCCCAACAACACAGCTGTGTGTTTGCAACTCCCAATCATATCCACTTGCAAGTTTTGACCAAAATAAATAAAAATACCTACCAAAATATTCCTTTTTCATGTGCATCTCTAACTCCTTCTCCAGCTCCAGGGTGAGGGCCTCCAGCCTCCGCTCCGCCTGGCTGGGTCCGCTCTCTCTGCTGGGGGTCACCTGGTAGGGCATCTTAAACCTCTGGCTGGAAGCTGTCTTTGTTGCCACTCCGTAACAAAACGATGATGGAGACCCCGCGATCATCTCCACTGTCCCTGCCTGCTGGGGTGCCTGCTGCTGGGGCTCCGGCACCGCAGAGAGCCCCTGCAGGTGGATCCGGTTCTGGATCCCGTTGGAGTCTCCATACTCCTGCAGCAGCGTGTCCTCGTGCAGACCGCTGCCCAGCATGGAGGACCGGGGGGAGGGCAGCTGCAGGTCTGGGTAGGTGCTCATAGACCCCCTGGAGCTGCGGGAGCTCCTGGAGCTGTGGCTGGAGATGCTGGACCGGGGGCTCACCACGCAGTTTGCAGAAGTCCCGGGTCTGGCACTCCCATCCTATCAAAGATTCAAAGGCTTTATTGACATATGAACTGTAGCTACAGTGTAGTTATGGTAATGTCCCACGCTTCTCCTACAATAGAATATAAATATATCAAAGACATGACTTATAAATAGTGCAAGAAGAAACTGAGTAGAAATTAAATGTGCAAGATTACGTTGCAAGACCCATGTGCAAGTAGAGCAGGAGAAGTGAAATATATACAATATCATGTCAAATAAAATACAATAAGCTAAATGTAGCAGAGAACTTCAGCCCACTTTCCAAGCCTCAAGGATCCTTCTCAGGACATTATGCCACCTGCCACCGTTCTGTATTTGTTTTTAATACAACGGATGTTTTAATGTAACCAGCAGAAGAACAAAGCCCTCTGTACTTCTATTAAGACTGCAACTGAGTCATTTTGATATGCAATCTCCCTTTTTGTGTGCATTTATTGTAAGTTGTACTGTGTGAGTGTTGTTTTATGTTATTGCCAGTGCCAAAGACAAGTTTCCATTATATGTATTCTGAATCTGAATGTTGCAGATTCAATGTGGTCTATGTACATGTCAAAATAGAATCAGATAAGCAAGGGCAGAATGTACAAATTAATACTTTAAAAAAAAAAAATACAAATAGCGCAAGGAAGAAACCGAGTAGAAATGAAATAGTGCAAGATAAAGTTGAAAGACCAATGTGCAGTGCAGGTAATGCAGTAGTGAACAAATATACATGTCAAATAAAATGTTGCACGTGACGAGGTAAATGTAAGACTCTATTTGCATGTAAAACAGAATCAGATAAACAAGAACAGAATGTAAAATTAAAGTTAAATACCTGGCTGCAGATGCTCGACCGAGGGCTGGCCAGAGGGGCTCCGTGTAGAATCGCCCCCTCCAGGTCATGGTTGCCCGAGGGCCCGTACCGTGAGTCCGAGTAGCTGGACCGGGGGCTGGTGGTGAAGGAGTACTGGCTGGCCGTGCTGGACCGGGGGCTCGCGTGCCTCTGGTCGTAGCCCATGCTGATGCCACTGGTTCTGTTACTGCTTGGTTTGCTGCAGCAGTCGCAGCTGTTGAGGCTGGCCCGCGGGCTGGAGTGTTTGCTGGTGTCGCTGGCGGTGCTTGCATAGCTGGATCTGGGGCTTTGCACACCCTCACAGTGCACTAAACTCGACCTGGGGCTGGTGTACCTGTCCTGGCCCGGCACCACCAGACTAGTGCGCGGGCTGCTGAGGCTCGACCTCGGGCTCGCATGCTTGCTCTGCTCCTGGGAGGACAGGGACGATGCTAGGCTGGACCGGGGGCTCGTGGGGTTGTATCTCCCGTCGTGGCTGCCGGTGATGCAGACGCTGTTGCACCTGTTGCCGGGCACTGCAGCCGGTTTGTTGAGAGGCACGCCGTCGAAGGTGGACCCGGTGCTGTACCTGTGGCCCTGCACCTCCAGAGAGTACCTGCGGTGCCTCTCTGAAGCCCCGGTGTAGCACGGCAGAGCCACTTCGGATTTGGTGCAGCAGCCCTCGTCTGCGTAACCCGCGTCTCTCTGCGGGGCACAGAAATCCACCGGCACGGTCCGGCTGCAGTTGACCGGGCGCACCGGAGCCGCCGTGTACACTTTATTCCCAGTCGTGAAATTCTCCACGGTGTGATGCTGCTGGTGCAACACAGAGGTGCCATTCATTGGCTTACTTTTATGCTCTGCTACCGCCGGAGCAGAAAAGTCTAAATCAGGGTTAATCACCAAGTCTCTCCTCGCATACATCCCGTCTTTATACGCATCGTACAGGGAAAGATCCTCCATCAGTTTGCTGGCCCGGAGTCCCAGATCCTCCTGGTAGTGCTCCATGTTGTGCGAAACAAGTTGAGAGTGTGCTCCGCTCCGCAGACTAGCGAGCACCGCGGAGCACTAATTGCATTTCACATGGAAATCAAAACAAAACGCCGCGGTACAGCCGTCGCTCATTTACAAAGAAATAAACCTCCAACGCAGTCTAAAAACCTCCACCGTGTGCCGCATCGTCTTCCTGTGCTTTGACCCCTTCGCCGAAGAAACAAACTCTTTCTCACAGTTTTCAGCCGACAGGGATACGTTTGTCAACTTCAGTTTTTGTTAAGTTGAAAGGTCTTTACAGTCAATGGCGCGCTGCGCGGAGGAATTTCCCCTTGTTGGTTTTTCCTCTAGTTTCGCTTACGATCCCTTTGCCTCAAATCAAAGTAGCCAGGATAATCGGATACGCCTTAAATATCCGTTGTATGTAAGTCTGAGCCCAGTAAGCGTGCGGAAATCTCAATAAAACAGCGTTTTACACAGGGGACTCGTTTGCGTAAAAGGAATGCGAGGATGAAGACAGGATGCGCTGCGCCTCTCTGGAATGTGGTTAATGCTGCAGAGAAACAATGATTGCGACCAACTCAGCAAGGGGCTGCCGGCTCTGAAAAGAGAATAGTTTAGAGAGAAGGGGACGTCTGCATTCATCCCAGGCAGACTCAAATACCGCACAAAGCACGCCTCACCTGGTCCGACTCCTTTTACACCAGGAATAAGCTGCAGGGACTTTGTAATAAGGAGGGAAAGGCTATTTATATATAAACTCAAGTTTATCCACATTTTTGGAAGTGCAATGATATAAAGATAAAGATTCTCAGATCACCCTAACTCGAGTGCATAAGATCCAGATGAATATAATGTGTAATTATCAAAGCTAAATCAGAATCATGTGTATTGCAAAGTAGGTTTACACATACAGGGAAGTTGCTTTGGTGTAGAATGTGCATGCAAAAACACAAAGACAACATTTGATTTAAAATGGTATAAAAACTATTATGATAAAAAAATTGATCAAATTGAATAAAAACAGGAAATCTAAATAGAAAAAAATAAGACTATGAAAAAATCCGTACGTATGTGCAGTAAATCTGAATTTAAAAGTAGTAGAGCTGTGCAGAAATGTGCAAAGTATAGGTTTTTAAAGAATATTAAGATGTCTGCAACAAAACAAAAATAACACAAAGGACATACAAATGTATTCAACTTTGAGTAGAACTAAACTGATTGCAAAGAGCAAGGATCATTCACAAAATGAAACTACATAAAAAGCTGTGGAAATAAATGTGTGTCCATGATAACAAATGGAGGTCATGTTTAACTTTGTATTTGGTAAATTATTCCTGTGAGATTGGGATATAAAGATATGCCATATAAGGATAATACATCAGGATCCTAAAACATCGCTTACCTGTTTAAATAACATTTAAAAACCACCATGAATGCAGGTATAGTTTTCAGAACATTCCTTTGTACTTTATTTATTACAGCTCCACAAAAGCAGCATTAAAAACATGTCTGTATCATCTCGAAAGCTTACGGCAAAAAGAGGTAGTATTTCTAACAACAGCCATATAGGATGTTAAATTAAGACTTTAAGGTACAGAGACCATTTACTTATTTTCACATTTGTTGGCTGTATAAAAGGTGTGTTTAAGTCTGAAGCACCTGCCATGTACTGACTGATTATGTAATCAAATGTGTCCATGGACCTTAAGACGTCTGATTTGTTTTGTTTAGCTGCTTATCAACTGCCAACAAATGGAAGAAAAGACAGAGCCACAGCAACAAGGGCAGCACAAATCAGGAAGTCCAGTATCAATCGACCGAAGAAGGAGCTTTGAGATTTCTTTCCATGGCCTCTGCTTCTGAACCATCGCACCACCTCATCCAGGTTGTACTCTTGGGGCTCATAACCGAGCTCCTCCTTGGCTTTGGCCATGCTGAAGTAATGCGTCACGCCGGTCTTATACACCTCTGTACGTGTCAACAGGGGCTGGAAGTTATAGACAGGCCCGATGAGGAGGTGAATCATCTCTGTGAGGAAGGCCACAAAGTAGATGAGAGAGACGGGAAGGCGCAGTTTGGGGAAAGGATACCCTAAACCCTCAACTAGAGGTCTGAAGAACTCAAAGTTGTTGACGGGCCTGCCATCTGAGATAAAGTAGGCCTGGCCAGAAGATCGGTGCTGCTTCTCAGAGGTCAGAGCTTCTGCTGCGAGCTCATGTGCAGACACCAGGTTGTCCACATGCACAAACTCCACCAAACTCTTAGGATCTCCGTACACAAACCTGAAGATCCCCTTCTCTATGTAGCCAACTATCCTGGGCAGGTGCCTCTGCTCGCCCGGCCCGTAGATCCCTGCAGGACGCAGAGCACAGCTTCTCAGCACCCCGGCACCTTCCTTCAGAGCTGTGCCGTTAGCTTTCAGCACTGCCATCTCCGCCAGAGACTTGGTTCTGGAGTAGTGGTCGGGGTGGAGGTGCAGAGGAAGATAAGGGAGGCTTTCATCCCCGTTCTCTATCACTTGGCCTCCGAACACCACGTTAAAAGTGCTGGTGTAAACCAACCGGGACACTCCGTGCTCAATGCAGGCCTGCAGGACGTGCTGTGTGCCCTGAACGTTCACCGCCTCGATCAGATGCCGGTTCAGCTGCTCCCTGCCAGACATGCCATAGGAGGCCAGGTGGAATACACAGTCTGCACCAGCGATGGCCTTCTCAACTTGTGCATACTCACGAATATCTCCTTGAACAAACACAATGTCCTCTGGCAGTTCTTGCTTTGGAGAGATTGTGTCGAACAGGATGATTTTGGCTCCTTTTTTATGCAGGGAGCATGCCAGGCTGCAGGGGGAAACACATTATTTAATATGAACTTATCTATGCACAACAAGTCCTTATTTAAAATCACAAGTGCACAAAATATGTCATAAATAAGAAGAAATTGCATGCATCTCTACTTGTTAAACCAACCACAGGTCTGTAACATTAGATTAAATCTAAAAATAATAACTGATGCAATAGCGCCACCTTGTTGTGGTAAAGCAGTGTAACAGCACAGAGACACTGAAACCATTTCTTTGTTTACTGACAGTGAATGCGAACTTTTTTTTGTAATAAACAAAGTTGTTCTTACCGATAACCAAAATAGCCACATCCCCCAGTTATCAAACACGTGTCTGTTCGTGCATTTGTCATTACAGGAGGAAGAATCTGTGTGTTTAAAAAAGATTGGATTATGCACAATTGAATAACAACAAAGTATACTTATATGTTTAGAAAGAACATATAAAAACAACAAAAAAATAATACACAAAAAATAAAAATACAGTTACAAACAAAGAAACAACCAAATACAAGCTGCAAAGTTGACGTTACCTAACCTGCAGTCTGCAGGCTGGGTCAATGGACAATACTTGAGTAATTGTGCATGTTATGTAATAAACTGAATGCATAAACGTCACCTGCCACAGCTATTTTCAATAAGGGGTTATTCAAGATGCCATGCCTCAAACTGTTCTACAAACTAGCTTAAGTGTGCTACATGCTCATACAGTAATTTAAATCAAAACCCATGTTGTATTATAAACTAAATCAATTCACGTGTTTACTGTTGGTACCAACCTGATCATACGCTGAGTAGAAAAAGAGGTAAATGTGAGTTGAATATCACGTTTTTAAAACTCTACTACAAGCACCGGTGTGCACTTCCTTGGTCCGTGCTGTACGTGCTTATGTTACGTAATGTACGTAAATAACATGGAGCATCTGCGTCAAGTTTACGTAAAGGCAGAATAATACCGGAAGTTTTTATATGCATTCTTTGCGATTTCAGATCAAAAACATCCACAGCAAAAATGAATGATTATTAAATACTTTATATTTTATAATCGTACAACGTGTGATTAAATGTTTAGGATTTGGAATCTTTCATTGAATGCATTCTCATTTCTCGGTTTGCATTTATAAATGCACACGGCATCTATTGCACGTCTGTCCGTCCTGGGAGAGGGATCCCTCCTCTGTTGCTCTCCCTGAGGTTTCTTCCCATTTCCCCTTTAAACTGTGGGTTTTTCTCTGGAAGTGTTTCCTTGTATGATGTGAAACGTAAGGACAGAGGGTGTCGTATTGTCATACTGATATTCTGTACAAACTGTGAAGTCCACTGAGACAAATGTAACATTTGTGATATTGGGCTATATAAATAAACATTGATTGATTGATTGATAAAGAATGGACAAATGTGTTTAATCGTTAATGTCAGATATGTACTAAGTAAATATATTTGTTCCTGCTCAAGATTAGATTCAACTTTATTGTTATTGCACAGATTACAGGTACTGAGACAACGAAATGCAGTTTAGCTTCTAACCAGGAGTGCATAAAGCAGTAAAGTGAAAAGTAATGTACACAATCTACAGAAGGGGGGGGGGGGGTGCTAGTGGATCGCCGGAGCATGTATTAACATTAACATGCTTATTGTAGTTGTAAGTGCACTGCCTTGCGGCCTGTAGCACCATATGTGTGGGCTGGACCTGTATTTTACAGGAAAGGAGTGAGCAGAGGGTAGTTTTGTCGATTCTTGTTCTGTTTGCTGTGACTATCTTCCAGACTTTCAGTTGAGCGCGCTACGCTAACCAGTGGAAACCAAACAATGGTGTAGCTGTATTAAAGTCCGAGTGGAAACAGTCCTGAGTAAATCTGATTTTGTCAGAAATCGGGAGAAATGCGGGAGAAATATGACCCCGGGAGGAAACCGGGAGAGGGCAATGAAATCGGGAGTCTCCCGCGAAAATCGGGAGGGTTGGCAAGTATGCTCGCTTGTCTCAAACAAGCCTAGTAATGATGCGTTCTGCCAGCAACAGAAACACTTCCTGTGTGCAAATTGTGCCTTCAGAATAAAAGCAGACATTTAAAAAAAAAAAAAAAGTTAAATTGTAATGTAGTACAAGTAGTACAATTTGTTTAACTAATATAACGAAACATCTTATTACTAATTGGTCATTAAAAGCCATAATAAACGTCATTACGTCCAGTCACTGGCACTACTAGAGTCTTGGGCGTCACTTTGTTCGAAAAAGAGGTGGGGACAATTTTCCAGATTTAACATCAGCACAGCAGAAGACAACCGATGTTCTCCTAACAATATTTTTGCACTAATTGAATGTATGAAAATAGTGTAATGCTTGCAACATTCCAATAAAGTTTGTACAAAATAAAATAAAAATAAAATATTGTAATTGTTGGGGAAATATTTTCCAAGGCCCATAACTTTGACCCAGTTTATCAGTTCATACTGTCCTGACTGAGCCCAGGCTGCAGGCACCTGTCACCTTGGCTGCTGTGCTCTCAGTGTTTTGTCTCCCTCTTCCTGCCTGTTGGCGTCAGCTGATAGAGGTGTTATGATTCTATCTTGTTATGCACGATGCTGATTATTCTCTCAGAACTAGCTAAATACATGGGTCTGGGGTAGAGTTCTTCAGAATTTATTGTGGCATCCCACCGTGTGGTCAACTCGTGGCCCGTGACATGTCTTGTGAATTCTCCGGCCGAAGCTCCAAATAAACCGTCAGTGTTTGCCATCAAAG